GATAGCTGGGCGATGAAATGGTCTTGGCAGTCGGTGACGTGCTATTCGTGATCTTCACACGATTCTCTATAGAATGGTATGTAGAAAGCTGAAGAAGAAAATTTGCTCGACTCTGCATGCCGTGCATCTTAAAATGAAGGATTCTTTTCTTTGCAGGAACATTTTCTCTCTTATTTTAGGACTGAAATCTAAAACTATACATATTCAGATAGCTCATGTTGAGCTGTATCAGACCAAATATAAATAAAAAAAGTTCGCTTTCAAAAAGTGAAACGCTCACGGGCACCATTATCGGTTGAACTATAGAGAAACTTTGTCTCTCAGTAGCAAGCCCCTTCTGAATTTGAGTGAGTGTGGCATACTTGGTTTCGCAGAGCGTGTGTTTTTCTAGCTTTTGGTATAAAAGACTTCAGTAGGACTCAATTCTTAAACGGTAGATCGTCTGCACTTTTTTCTACGATGTTGTAAGTAGGGGTGTGACAGTTCCATATCAGTTCCAGGAGCGGGAGCTGTCAGACCAGCTCAAGCTCATTTGAAAAGAACTGGTCCACCAGCTCTTTTGAATAGGAGATGGAGCTGAAAGTGTTGACCAGCTCTTCATCACAGCTCCCTGCAGCTCATGAGCTTGAACTGTCACACCCCTATTAATGATAGCAAATTTTTTTTAAGTGATATATTAGAAAACAGAAGATCATCATGTTTACTTTATATTAATAGTTATTTCATAGTGGTTTATCAAAATAAGCAAACCAAATAGAAAATAAAGTTTACTTAAAAACTGATATGGACGGAAGCAATGAACACATCTGAACTATAAATTATCATCTATGCTGTCCGTATAAATTTTACAGCATGGCGATATTTTTTGATGAGCAAATTTGTTTTAAAAGAGCTAGATTACTTGATAGGTAATGACAGAATTTTGTGTAGTTGTAATGAGTATTCAGTTAATTTTTAGTTCTGCATCAACAAGATCGTGCTTTATGCTGTTTCAATTATTAGCTCGTAAAAATTTCATGTGAGTAAAGATCGATTCACAAATGGCATTCAAGGCTGATATAGAAGAATCGAACTAAACTGAGCTTTGTAAAACAGGTGCATATTCATTACAAATATATTTGTCCTAAAAACACCAGAAGAAACCAGCTCGTGGATACAGGAGATCTGGCAACCCTGTTATATTCTCCGTCATCTTTTGAGAGTAAAAGTAATCTTGTTCATATCACTTGTCCATGGAAGTTACAAAGTGAATTGAAATAAATGTATCCATATTGGATATGCCGCGATTGGTACGAAAGTTCAGCTGAATAAAAATCAAGAATCCAAAATGGCATCGAACCCACATATTCCAATATCTGACTGGTTGCTCTCCCATTAAGCTACCCTCATCCCTCTTTAGTCACCATGTGACTACATATCGGACATCCATTTCAAAGCAATATGCAACAGGACAGTAGTCACTACTATAGGAATGTTGGGATTATAATCAAGAATTCGACCGTGTCTTTGTCTCGTGTCTTCTGAATGGTCAGGTGTAACACGTGCTCTATCTGTTTGTAAGTAACTTTTCAATCTATCGCTTTATGCTTCCTATGTGTCTCTTCGTTCTTCTTCTCCATTTCAAACTATTATGTTTAGTCGAAGTTGATCATTTTAGTTTCCTTTATGCTATTTTTATTACTCTGTGACCCTAATTGATCCTAAAGGAACATGCACTCAAGGTCATCGACTAGTAGTAGATCAAATGGAAGCAGAAAAAGAAAGAAAAGCCGATAGCGAAACGAAGAACACGAAAAGAAGTAAGAACTTAGTAGAAAAAGTCAAATGGATGGTTTATAGCCGAATAGAATTATTTTGTTCATGATTTCGTTTGACCAGGTGCACAAGGTTGGTATGTTATGAAGCGAGAGTTTCTAATTCTTTTGTTCAAATTCAATGCCCTTTAGATATTTGTCGTACTTGTATTTCCAATCAAGAGTTTGGAGGATTCTGGCCTAGCAAAATTCAGAATTTAAAATAGCACTTGGTAAATCATGGATTTCGTAATAAAAGAGATCCTTTCAACATCAGACATCAGCGAGTAGAGAGCTCTTCTTTTCAGCATCAAACAAGATTCTGCTTATATTTCAGAAATTGCAGCAGAATTCTGTCTGTAGAAGAAGTGTCAATAAACCAGCGTGACGACTATTACAAGTACTAAGCGGATTGACGGAAAAGACAGAAAAGAAAAATGTCGAATAGGAAAATGTAGAAAGCAAAATGTAGAAAGAAGTTTAATGTCGAAAGAAAATATATGAGAGGAAAATGCAGAAAGAAAATTCTCGAAAAGAAGAATGTAGAATAGAAAAGACATCTACAGATTACGTATTTATTTTTTGAACTTCTATCGGCTGTTAGAAGAATGATTTAAAACTCGTCCTCTTCACCGATAAACCTGAATTTGGTAGAAAGTAAAATTGTCGAAAATAAGAATGTAGAAAGATAAAAATGTCGAAAGTAAAAATGTCGAAAAATAAAAATGTAGAAATGAAAAATATCAAAATACGATAATCTTGAAAGACGATGCTGCTATTGTATTAAAACAACATTTTTGCTTGTGCTACTACTACTACTTAAGGCTTTATTTTTGATAGAAATCGATATTATATTTTATTCAGAAAATAGTTTTGGCGGAAAAAAATGATACATTAATAAAGTAAAATAAAAAATAACGTAAATCACTAATTAAACAATTGCAGTCTTATTTAGTTCTTTTTCGCAACCACATATGATAAACCTTTGAGGAGATCAGATGTATTGATAAGATTGTTAGCATAGCGACAATAAAGTGTATTGATACGATGTTGTATCATTGTTGTTCGAATATTTGTTTTTTTGTGGCACCAGCTGCCCACTGAATTGTGATACATTGTGTTCTTTTCTTCTCCTTTTGTAAAAAATTGATGAAAGACCACATGTTCGGATGGTTTCGATATATACGGCTGTTCATTTTAGTATGATAACCTTCGAAAAGGAACGAAATAAGTTGGAAACTTTATCTCTGATTCTCACCTTCGCAAACATTGTTCGTTCGGTTGTCAGATGCAAATACATTTCATAAATCAACATGATCTAACCAGTTTCTTTCAAAATAGATCAATAATTCTTGCATAGGACGACCAGGTAATTTCTCAGCATCAGTTTGAATTTCTTTGAAGCTATTGATAACATGTTCATGTGGCATTAATACTAATACCATAAGTTTTCTGCATAACACTCTAAATGATTCATCGGTCGAATATTCCTGTTGTTTTCCTAAATGTTGTACTTGGCAATATATTACTTGACAATAATGGAAAAAATATCCAAAATGTTTTGATACAGGAAACTAGAAATAACTCAAGTTGAAAAGTAAATCGGATTCTTGTTTTTAGTATATATATTACTAACTTCAGTTTTTATCACTGGTAAAACACCGGATTCAAAATCAGTGATGATCTTTACAGGTGAAAAAGTTTTTTCCAAGTTCTGCTGCTTTCTGTTTGAGTTCACTGAATATATATCTATATGTTGCAGATTTTTTATTTATTAACAAACAGACAGCACATGGTAGACCTTAAACAAAAAAACATGACTATGTAGAAAAAAAAACTAGTGCCGACATATATCAAAAAGAATTGCATGTATAATATATATTTGTGTAAAATGTGGTGAACTCTTCGCAAACGTTCCGTCCATATAAATAATAGGCGAAGAGAATAACAGATCGAGTTGACGATCACTGGCAAATATCAACAAACGTTCATGTCGTGCTAATGCTTCATCACATAATAAAAAGCGATTTCCATCAACTGTTGTTTTAAAATCATCTGGAATGTCAAATAAGCATGATTGTGGTAATAAAGGAATCGTTTTCTGTCGAGCTTTAGCAATTGATGGATCTGAAAAAGAAGGAAAAAGAATTCAGACAAATATAATTTTGACAAACTTACATATTTCTTGACTACTTGGTAGAATAGCCAAAGTTGTTGAATTACTAGATACTTTAGAAACCTCTTCTTCATAAATGACTGAAGGGTGTGGGTGTGGGTGTCGGTGTCGGTATGGGTGTGGATGTTTACCATACAAGAATCACATCCACATCCACACCCACCCTCACACCCACACCTCACACCCACACCCACATCCAAAACATCGATGACAAATTTAACTTATGAAAACATCATCTCATAGTAGCTTCCGTTATTTTTAAAATGAATACAAGATATATCTTTTAGCTTATAGATGATAACATCAATCTTCTGTAGTTTTTTTCATATTTGTCGGCCTACACATTTTTGCTTGTAGATGTTTATGTAATGAGTGCTCCACTCTTGTTTTTTTGATAAAAATATGTTGATAAGAAAGAAGAGATCAAATAACATATATTTTATAAATTTCGAAGAGTATACTGTAAAAAATAGGCGTAGAATAATAAACCCTTGAAAAGAGTTTATGAATGTCATAAACCCTATCACATACCCTTTTGGGGGTTTATTAATATCATAAACCATTTCATATACCCTTTTAGTTCATAAACCCTATGAAGGATATGTGACACGTTGTACTTTCATAAATTCTTTAGGGTATATGAGCAGTAATATACCCTTAAAAAGTTTATTAACCTCCTAAACCCTCGGAAAAGCGTTTTCTATTGTACCCTTTAGAAAAATCCGTAGAATAAAACACGTTTTTCCGAAGGGTTTATGAAGTTAATAAACTTTTTAAGGGTATATTACTGCTCATATACCCTAAAGCATTTATGAAAGTGCACCGTGTCACATACCCTTCCCAGGATTTATGATACTAATAACCCCCAAAAGGGTATGTGACAGGGTTTATGACCTTCATAAACTCTTTTCAAGGGTTTATTATTCGACGCCTATTTTTTACAGTGTATAGAAGCTCTTTCTTGGAATCAGAGTATGGGAACTTTTTGATTAATATCTGGATATTTAAACAATCAGGCCTGGTAAAAGGTTCGTTTCAAACCAATGGTAGTACTACTCTCGTGATCTCTTTCTCATTCGTATAGAGCACAACAAATTAAGCTAAATCTAATTATTGAAATATGCGAAGTATGATTTTAGAAAGGATTTAGATTCGAGAATTTATTGTTTACAACAAAAACCAGTGAGAGTGTGGGTGTAGCAGTTCTCTTCACTCACACCCCACACCCATATCGCAATAGTGTGGGTGCCGCGAAAGGAGTTATACGCATGTCGATATCGAGTAATTGCACTGCATACTAGTCACAATAGTGTGGGTGCCACGAAACGACTTTCATAGATGGTGTCGAATTATTATTTGTTCTTTGTTATGTGAGCTCTGGACGGCCCTTCGGACCGCACTCGCTTCCCTTTTTTGTGATCTATTTCTCTAGATGTATAATGCACGTTTTCCCTTATTCTATTGATTTTATTCGTCTAAATTCAATTGAAGGATCATAAGTATTACACAATCAATGAAAATTTAAGGGGACCCCCTTAGAAAATCGGATTTTTCAAAACAAATCGAAGTTGAGTTTTTATCACAGGAAGATGCACCGAAGCTTCTTCTTTCAGAATATACATGACTTTTTTCAAAATAACCAAATTTCCAAAGAATTATCACATGAAACTCTGACTCTACTACCATATTTTCGGAGAAATTTTCGTGGTTTTTAAAGTTTTTCAGTTTTGGAAAAACTGCGTTGCCACTTGCATTATCATTGAATAGAACATTTTAATACTAACCAGCATATCACATGGCGTTAGCTACCTTCATCTATTACGTACACTGTAAAAAAAAGGTACTTTACCGAACCCTCCAAAAAGGTTTCGTAGGTGTCTAAAAGCTTCCAAATGCATCCAAAGGGTTAAAAAAATGGTTGTTAAAGTCTAGGAAACCTTAAAAGGATCTGAGTGCGGGTACATCCTCCGAACCATCTCCTACGAAACCTTTTTTCGCTATACGGAACTTTAAAAGGTTTCGTAGGAGATGGTTCGGAGGGTGTACCCGCGCTCAGATCCTTTTAAGGTTTCCTAGACTTTAACAACCATTTTTTTTTAACCCTTTGGATACATTTGGAAGCTTTTAGACACCTACGAAACCTTTTTGGAGGGTTCGGTAAAGTACCTTTTTTTTTTTACAGTGTACTTTCGAATGGTCCACTGAAATATATTAAAAATATACCATTGTAATATGATTTGTTCTAGATTTTAATGAAAAAATCCATTTCTAAAACTTCTTTAGCGTTTTTCTCAAAACATGGTTTCTAGCCAGAAAAATTGAAATAACTCCCTCTCGGGTCGAAGTATCACCAATGTTTTTTTTCTGTCTTAAAGATCTGAGTCAGAGCTAACTTTTCATCGGATGGATTTTTGATACTTGATTCCTGGACTGAGAAAAGTGGGATTTACTGTCGTGAAGTCACATTTTTATGCTTATTTTGAACATCATGCCCACTAAAATGCTCATAAAAAATGAATGGAAGGGAGTTGCAAGATTCTGTTCAATAAAAAGTTGCACACAGAGGCTAGCTTTATTTTGAAACCAGCCCGAGCCCTGTATCCGTTATAACGACGGAGTTATTTCGATTCTCCTGGAAAGTAGAAAAACAAGCCGGAAGTTCGGTTTAGTAGGGTATATCAGACTGAAATTTTTTCCACAAGCGTTGCACACTACCCATGTAAAAATAAAAAGGTATTTAACGAAATGATTCTTGAAATTAATACAAAAAAATGCGTTAAAAGACAAATTAACGAAATTTCACCAAGAAAATTTCATGAACTTTCGTTATATTCCGAAAACTCGTGTAAACGCGTTAGATTTTTCATGCTTTTTCACGCGTGATTGACGTTTTAACTATAACTAACTCATTATATATCGTTAAACGTTGCATTCATTTTCACGCGTTAAGAAGTTTAACGACATTTCTTGAGTTTTTTTATTTTTAACCAATCTTACCATGTTAAATATCGTTAAACTTGGTATTCATTTTCATTCGTTAAACATATTAACGCGTTTTCATGCATTTCTGTATTTTTCACGAAACTTAACTGATTGATTCTCGTTAAATCTAGTAACTGTTTTCACGAGTGAAATATTTTAATGAGTTTTAATGAAAATCTTAATTGTTAACGAACGTCATTTAATTATTCATCATTGAATCTACTAATTGTTTTCACGCGTACAATATTCATGATTTTTTGTGTAACATATTTGTTTATGCACATTACACAAAAATCATCTCGAAAGGCTTATATTTACGAAATATCAAGTGTGTCTGTGGACTATATCAATCCAGATATCAAAAGCTTTTTATCAGATTAGGCAGCACTTCTTTAGAGAAATCTCTATTTTGTATTAATCGCTAGCAAAACTACTTGAATTAATCCTAGGCAAAGATAATCCTCTTTCAGTTTTTCTTTAAAATTTACTATGGGTTTTATATCAAAGGAATGTAATTCTATACTTCGTACATCATCATCATTTCTGCTCCACGTGATAAAAAAAAGTTTAGCGAAATAATTGCTCCAGTTAAGATCAAAAGTTGCCTTAAAACGCAAATTAATAAAGTTTCACGGAGAAAAGTTTCATGAATTTTTGTTAGATTTGGAAAATTCGTTTTAACGCGTTAGATGTTTCACGGTTTTTCACGCTTGATTGCCATTTTAATGGTAACTAACTCATTATATATCGTTAAATGCTGTATTCGTTTTCACACCTGTGATATTTTAACTTTCTCACTCGAGCTACATGCCACCTATATAAGTGTGTAGAAAATTATTCAAATATCTCGAGATCCTTTGTATAGTAGATCACAGTCCATTACAGCATGTTTTATCAGTAGTACGTAATGCAGTAGCGGAGTCAGGATTTGGGGTAGAGGCCATCGGTCCCTTTGGCGTCCCAGTAACGCGATCTGATGATACAAATACGGATAAGCGATAGTTCGATCAACTTTAAACGTCATTGAGCCAAGGTTGTATAAAATATGAATTCACCGTTCTCTAGTTTCATAATTGTCAAGAGTAGCATCTCATCGCAGACCACTCACGGAATAAAATTGTGACTTTCATGTGAAAAACATGGAAAATGTCATGTTTCATGATGAAACGGACATAATAATGCTTGTATTTCATTTTCATTGGTTAAAACGAAAATTTTCATTAATGTCATTCTATGATTTTGATTTCTAACGAAAGTCATCATAATGAAAATGACTCAAAAGTAAATTTATGAATGACATTAATGAAAACTTTCATTTTAATCAATGAAAATGAAATACATACATTATTATGTTCGTTTCACCATGAAAAATGCCATTTTTTTCAGTTTTTGTTATCTCCTGGGCATTCTTCCGGTATGAGTCAAAGTTTATTAAAGAGGGCGTTAGTGTTGAAAACATTCTCAAAATATTCTAGGATAAAATATAGATTCGAATACAATCAATATGAGAATATTCTATTTGATTTTCTGTAAAAGCTATAGTGCGCTTCAAAAATTCTCATTATTTAATTGACATCTTTTCATTGACTTGTAATGTCGGGAATATAGGATAGTCTGAGCGATCATTGGTTTTTACTCTATACAGGGTGTTTCATAAATAACACCCCGATAAGAAATTTAAATATCTCCGCTAGATGTCGACCAAATGAGCTGATATTTTTACCAGTGATAGAGGCATGTACCAAGTTTATATCCATAAGGACATGTCTAGGGAGATCCTTTGTTAACTATCACT